AACATTGTCTGCTTTATGATTTTTGCAAATTTAAGTGACATACCAAAAATTCAATGGTATTCCCGAAAGGGTTTTGAAATAATGAAATTGTTGGAGGATTTTTTTTTGGAACTGAACCTTATCCATCATTTTGAAAATGCGATCCACTCGTTTCTCGGGCGTATTCTCCTCTTCGGGTAATTTCACGGTTGAACCAACCATTTTATAGATGCTGCCAACAATCGATAGCATCTCATTGCGTGTTATAAAGCCATCGTTATCCAAGTCGTATAACTTGAATGCCCCTTCAACGAATCAAACAACTTTTTTAGGCATTGTGGTTTTTTGAAACTGTTCACTTAATTACATCACAGATCATTTTGGAAATCTCCAGCAAAAAAATTTTTCTGCAACAAGCACCATCAACACTTCAGAGGCCATTTGAAACATCTTACAATGTAGTTTTTCGTCAAGATTGCCTCGTGACGTTATGGAGAGCGCCCGGATGAATTCGTGAAATTCGATCGCTCCATCCTGTAAAAATTCACAAAAATAATGCAATCTTTTGGCCAGCTCGCCTAGCCAGCGGGGTGGCGTAAATTGAGGCCAAAACAATGCGCACGGAAACGCGAGCATTGTGGCCAGCAACGTTATAAACGTTTGATAGCCTGGCCGATCCAGGTAATCCAGGCAAATGCAATTTTTGTGTTTCCTTAAAATTCCCGAAGCATCCAGCCAGCTTTTTTGGCTGAAAAAATGATGGGTTTTATGTTTGATGCGCATCGTTGCTCCCGTTGTCCGAACTCGAAATCGATCAGAACGTTGGGTAGGGGGACGAGGGCAAATTCAAAGTGCAAAATCATCAATCAGTGAATAATGTTAAATGTCAACACAATTTCATATTCAGTGCTTCAAGTTATTTTCGTCACTGGTTGATGCATCATCTATAGGGTTTTGAATAGATTTTACGCGAACCAAAAAGTACACCACATCAAAAAAATAATCCAACAATAATGCGTAGTTTTTTTGATCTGTAGATACAAATGTACTCTCAGGGCAAGGCTTCAACGTATCAGTCATCTAGATTCATTTAGAATCATATTTCGCGAAACTCAATTATTTAGTTGATTCAGTATCACCTCAACAGTGATGATGGTGATGATATTTAGTTAGCATACGAAAATCTTCGAGGCTCTCTTTGGTCAGGTTCCCTTATAAATCACAAGTATTCGGAAGCGAATACAGAAATTAAAATGTTTTCGTAATGGAGGAAGGTTTGAACTGTCTGAAGGAGCCTGAAAGCGTTCAGTATGTTTGTAATGGAACGCAGAAGCTCAACCTTGTTATCAGCTGATGCTTTGTTTTAATGCCACATACGATTTTATGCTCTTTATACTAGCGGTTGCGAATGTGATGTGAGAAACATGAACTCATTACACTATTAGAAACCAAAAAACAGTAGTATTCAATTTCTGCTCATCGCTGAGTCTGACGAGTAGAGGCTAAAATCCCAAGGGAGTCGGGTTGTTGCTGTGAGAAAATTCATAGATTGAACAAAAATTGAGGTGCATGCAAAGGGCAGCTGCTGTTTAATGGGTTGGTTATCGCAATCTAAAAACTTCAATTGCAACTTTAATGATTACAAGCTGTTGAGGACGCTCATAGTGGTGCTTTTGATAGGAGTTGGAATTGATTAGTCGTCGAAAGAGATCGGAAATTTTTTGAAGAGCAAAACTATTGCGCTTGTAATAAAAACTGAACTAAAATTGTTGAGTTCTTGGAAAAAAGGCACTCTATCTTTCATTTTTAGCGTTACACTGTTGATGAAATCAAAAGGATTTGGGAGTTAAAATCTGCTGCTTCACAGATGGAATCAGTTAGGTTTTTTTTCACTTTGCATAAAATTTTAGAAAACTGCTAATATCGCTGCTAATGATTCGACTTCAAATTTATGCCAAACGCATTCACTAGCAAATAAATAGAACAATATTTATTTCATTGCTTATGTTTGTCTGTATCCGTGGTATTTTACGCCACTAAGCCAATTTGGTATTACACTAAAGAATGACTGAACAAATAATTTTCTTCTGATGTCTTTGAAAGTTCCTATAGTGAGTGGGATCGTGCCTCTATTGATGGATCATAATTTGCACTTTATTGAAAAACATCGGTCATTGATTCGCCATTGATCTGATACTTGAAAGAGTGATATGGGGAAATGAAAGGCAATGACGGGGGATGTGATGGAATGGAATATTATGAATGAAACGAACTTTATTCTCGTCGAAAACTTTGAAGACGAATGAAGCGAAATCGGATGGATCACCTTGAGGAAAAAATTGTTTGTAAATTTTTTGAAATCCCTGAAAGATGTGAAAGTGAAGCCGCGTAGAATTGATAAGGTGCACATGCAATTATGTCGATTCTCTCAATAAACCTGATGATAAAATGTAATGCAAATAAATTATGCAGGATCATTAGATGTCAACGAAATCTCATATTTCATAGCAATTCAAAAAAATACTTCTGTGATCCCAATAAGATCATACGAGTGGAGATTTGCCTATAATCTTGACAGATGACCGTAGCGGCTTGAGCACATTTGCTTAGTGTTTTGGCTTTGTTACATCAATTGATCATGTTTCCGAAGAAATGCAAAATGCAAATTTCCATTGCCTCTTCGTAAACGGGGACCAGTCTAGGAAAAGATGCAAGTGAAACCGAAATAAACGTACTGCTTCAGTAAGCATTCCATTCGGGCAATCGCGCACGAATCCTTTGTACCTGAAGTTGTTTTTTATAATCATTCATCTCAGACAGAGCAACGAATCTGCCATCGAAAAAGTCAGTAACACCACATACATTCCATTCTATAGCATCATGCGTACAACAATAAAAACGATAATAGCACCGAAAATGTGCACAAATATGCATATTTATCGTAAAAAATTCGATAGAATCGAAATCACTGCAGGAATGCATGCAAACACGCAATATTCCAATCATAACATCGGTATTGAATATTTCTTAATGTCGAAGCACGGCAAATAACGTCCAGTATAGGTCAGT